TGGCGGGTTCCTCGGATCATTCGAAGCAACTTCTTCCTTTACAAAAATGTTCTCCGAGGCACCGTTAACGAGTTATGAACGAAAAACAGTGACCAATAAGAATCGAGTATGGCTGACGCGAGGCGGCCCAGCCAACCAGCGCGCGAAGCCCAGTTCAGCTCATTGGCTCGATCGCCTCGCGCCAGCCGAGCTCGCTTCTCATTGGTCACTGTTTTTCATTAATAACTCGTTAACGGTGCCTCGGAGAACATTTTTGTAAAGGAAAAAGTTGCTTCAAATGACCTGAGGAACCCGCCACTTTCGGATTGCGAGACATTTTTGGGACACCCTGTATATACAGACAGAATATACAGTATCAGACTCTGCCGTCCAGAGAAATAGCCTCGCGCAGAATTCAGCCGTACCTAATCGTGCGATTTAATAAAAGCCTTAATTATGTTTATATTTATATAAATGTATAAAATTATGTTTATACTTATATAATTATACATATAAACTTATGTTCATACTTATGATCCACGCCTGTATATATATTGTGAAATAATTAGTAGTAATTTCGAACAGATAAGTTATGAAAATGTATCATACGAAATTAGAATGTTCGAAATCTTTTATCGACAGTGTACATTGCACAGGAGGCTGCATGAAATACAAAAGATGATGTTCAGATAATTTATCACGCCCGGTTAAACTTTGGGACGTTAAGAAAAAAGTTTGATAAACTATTTGATAGCTGGAAAAGGGTCATATTCAAAAGGCGAAGCTGGCTTTTTGTCACGTACTGTACCTGCGGCAGAGGTGAACGAAGAATTCAGGCGACCCTACCATGAATCGAGACTGATTATGGCTGGGACGCGTGGCGCTCCATGGCGAACAAGTGTGTAAATTACTTGATATTGTCGCTAAGTTCGACGACAATGGTTTTTAAAAATCGTGTCCGTCAAACAGAGCTCTTAATTAAGCGTGTGCCAATTCTTGTTGTCAATAGGTTATTACCAAACGTTACGTCAATCATTAACATTAACATTGGTCTTTTTTCAGTAGGTCAAATGCAGAACATTTAAAACGATCATTTCGCCAACAGATCATCGTCAGAAATCACTTTGTTGCATTACTTTTCGACATAACCACTCCAATGCAAAACTTGCTCCGCTAGCCAAAAGATTTCACGTTGCAAAAATAAAGCAGTCATAAATATTCATTAGCGAAAAACATTTTCTGCAGAGACATGCAAACTCCATAAATGCATAAAGATCCGCGGTCTGGCTGCATTCTTGCTTTCACAACTGCATTTAATCGCGCCCTTCATAAGTTCTCCATTGTTTTTCGGATTTTAAATATAACAATACCACAATATTGTACCCTAATATAAAAACACTGATATAGTATTATATCCTAATATAAAAATACTGACGTAATACTACACACTAAATAAAGATACTGATACAATATATTGTACCCTAATATAAAAATATCAATATGTTTTAATATAATAAAATATAGCATAACTATAGTTTCAGAAAAGCATACGCGCAATGTTTAGTTTGCCCTGTCGAAGCCTAGAAATCGTTAACCTAATCGGTAAACCTATTAACATCACTTTTCACTCGCAAACACAG